TTGCCAGGATGGCCTACTCTTATCAATTTTCGACCACCAAGGGATCTTTCACGTGCGCAATTTGCGCTTTCGAGATTTTTCGCCCTTATCCGAGAAGGCAAGATGTAATCTTACCTAGCCTTAGATCAGGTGTGTGGCTGAAAGACAGCAGTAAGAAGGAGCCAAGGAATATCAGTAGAAAGGTTGCAGATAGAGCCAGGAGCCCAGAGCGAAATTGAAGACGAAAACAGATGACAGAACATGTTTAGGGAGCATAAAAGGAGGTGAAAGGAGGAAATTTCAGAGACAAAAACTTTCCGTCGTTGTTAGTTTTCGAACCCGGGATCTATTAATTAAATGGCATAAACACCGTAACCTCTAGAACACGAGAGCCCCCCCCCCCCCCCCCCCCCACGTGGCTTGAGTTGGAGACAGTTAACTGGCAAAATTTCTAGAGACTTTTCTTCTTTTTGTTTATTTTCTTTCGTTTCTACCGGGTTGTGTTTAAACAGTGTTCCGGTTTTTTTTTCGAAATGGGGATGTATATATTAGATAGATAGTTAGATAGATAGATAGATAGATAGATTCTAATAAAGGTCTTGTTGAGCTCTCCCTTCTTAAAAATCCATCTTCAGCGCGTGACGTCAGGGATACACCCATGTTGGCCCAACAGAGAGCGGATCACCCGAATATTTCGTAGAGGGTCAAGTGAATTCCTAAAAGAATTTTCGCACGATAGATAGATAGATAGATAGATAGATAGATAGATAGATAGATAGATAGATAGATAGATAGATAGATAGATAAATGGATAGATAGATAGATAGATTGAGGGAATGGGAGAGGGATGAGAGAGGAAGGGAGAGAGAGAAAAAGAGAGAGACAGTCTGTGTGTACGTGTGTGTGTGTCAGTGTGTGTGTGTGTGTGTGTGTGTGTGTGTATGTGTGTGTGTGTGTGTGTGTGTGTGTGTGTGTGTGTGTGTGAGAGAGAGAGAGAGAGAGAGAGAGAGAGAGAGAGAGAGAGAGAGAGAGAGAGAGTCAGTATACAGTAGTCTAAATTACTCTATTGTAACAGTGTGATGAACCTTTTTTTTGGAGTGGGAATTGATAATTAATTTTGTTTGGACGGCGACTCTAAAGTCATTCTCTTTTTTCGACTTCCGAACCGCCAAGGGTTCTTTAACGTCCTCATCCGAGATGGCAAAGAGATCGATCCTACAAAGCTTAGGATCAGAGGGTTAAGAAAACGGATAGACAGTCGAGCACCATACCTGCTGAGCTGCTGAGCGGTCCTTAATCATTATTTAGTTTGAATGTTTCAAAATGTACTTGAAAATACATGGAAAGAGAGACACTCCTTTCCGTCTTTTCTCCCCCAGAACAAAACAAAAAGAAACTCAACAAATTCAATACGCCCTCTAACAGTTGAAGCCATGGACTTGATTTCCCTGAGTTACATGCATCTGTGTAAGCTTGAATCACGCCTCCGAACCGTCGTAGAGAGGAAAATAGCCCCAAATCGGCTTGTATGACAAGAGGAAAATGACAATAAACCCATAAAAGTGCCAAGTACAAAGCACGCCACATGATCTGTGGACAGCCATAGTGATGTCTTATCTATCAAGCTAACTCAAAAAGTCAAAGTAGCACAACAGACAACATATTATGTGTTTTCTTGTTTTATTCTTACTTTCTACTGGTTTGTTTTAAGAGGTATGATGGGTCTTGTTCGTCTATTTCCTTTTTTAATATTTTTTTTTTCGCCATGAAAACGTCTGCCAAGAGGTAATCGTTCAAAATGTCCAATATTATAGAATGTGTATATGTTTTGATAGAATATCGCCTTCAGAAAAACAGAGGGGGGAGGGGGGGGGGGGGGGGCTGGAGGGGTCGTTTGGAAAGGAATATGAACATTGCACCAAAGTTCTTAAGAGTTAGCAAATAGTTTAATAAATGGCATACAAAAAGATTGCCAACATTTTCTGTGTCGTTCACTATAAAAGAGTGCAGAAAATGTATAATGAGAAATGTTCTTTATGACTACGATGCAACTTTGAGCGAAAAATATAGGATCTGTTCAATGTTTAGCGTGTAATCTTTGTAAACCATGCACCCGTGGCTTTTGGCCATGACAATGTCCATTGCTTGTGATCTGAGAGAGTGCACCATGAAGGTGAGTCATATTTGTGAGTAGCAATGAACATTTTTGTTTTATGACGTCCTTGTTTCGTTGCTACTGTGACCCATGAAAACACATTGTAAACACATGTCTGAGCTTGTGTGTGTGTTTGTCCGTCTGTGTGCATCTTCTTCTTTTGGGAACATTGTCTTAAAGAACAGATTGAAGCTCTTATCGCATTTTGAAATCTGATTTGTGCTTGACATGAATTCATGATTCTGTGTTAGTAAAATCAGGGGTGGAGTTTGGGGGAGGGGGTTCCATAGATTAGCTCAGTTTGACGGTCAGAGACTCAATGTTTATAAGGGCTTGCGATATGGTGTCGCGTCATGTGAGTATTACCTCCAACTGTACAGTCACTGCCTTTTCTACTAGACTCCTAACTGTTGTTAGACGGCCTCACACGTTGGGACAGACGTGCCATGGCTTATTAAACCTATCTGCCGTTCGCCATTGGCATGCACTCAATTAGCCATCAGCCTCCAGTGCAGTCATTTATATCATGTTTCCATTGGCCGCCTGGCCCTCCTATTTCTTCGTCCACTGTTTTGTGCAGTCCGCCCAGCCTTAGTATGTGTCCAAAATACAAATTAGAAATGTTGCTTTCCCCTGTAAAACGAGTACTTACAGTCATTATTCTGTCTTTCCAATTGCTTTTCATCGTTCTTTGAATTCACACTCTGTTTTGATCAAATGTGCACGTTTCAGCTCCGCTGAGGACAGAGCACTTTTAGTATGATTATTAGTAGCTTTACTGTCAAAATAATCTTCATCTTTGTGAAGATAAAATAAAGCCTTTACAAAGATAGATAGTGATATACCAAATTCTTTCAGTGGTTCCTTTGTTACCGGCTGTCTGAACTTTCTATTATTCTGAAAGTTTTCTATACCGCTTTTCCATCGTTCTGTTTTCTTGTCATGTTATCCTTAAAAAATTGATGGCGAATCTTCTACAAGTTGAAATTATTTTTTAGACATCTGGCTTCAGTAAAATCTTCAACAGCACGGTTAAACCGAGCCTGGTTTGTTCTTTTATCTCTTGTTTCGTTTGTCAACAGAAACGCTCATCTCAAGTGAAAGGGTAGAATCACGTCAGCTTGGACCGAAATGTCAGCCGCCACTGCTGAACTCATATTTCACAGAAACCACGACAAAATCTTTAGAGGGCAAAAAAGTAATGTAAGCTATTCTCAAACTTTAAATACACTTAGTAGGAAATTGTGCCTTAGTGCCCCCCCCCCCCACACACACCAACACATAGGGCCTACACACTTTGTGTGTGTGTGTGTTTTCGTTGTTGCTCTCATTGACAATTATTTATCCATTGTGTGAAATCATTACTTTCTATTCAACGCTGCCGTTAAACTAGCTCTCAGCACCAAAGTAAACTACTTTTAATTTCTACCCCCAAAAATGGCAAATAAAATGAAAACCTTATTTTCATTATAAATTACAGAACTTTAAAAGTTTTGAAACGGTCTGGGCTCACAGAACAAAACTAAAATCGTGTTGCGTATAAAAAGTATCCATGTCATGTTGGAATTCAAAAACTTTAGCAACCCATGCAAAGATAAAGCACTTTGTACCGGAAAACTGCAAGTTCCATTTTATGACTGTAAAACAAGTGGTTCACGTGTTAACTTGTTATCTTGTTATGAAGATTGCGTTGGGGCTACCTTTAGCTACTGTTAGCTATAACTTGACGCTTTAATTTGAAGCAAATAATAAATAAGCACCGACATAGATTTCAAAGTGCTCCGTCACTCCCTTCCCACACCTCCACATCCTCCATATGAACACCCCAGATCACCAATACAAGACATGGCGTATAAATAGTTACAATAATATATTACTTGTATTTTTTTCTAATTATCCCCCCCCCCGAACTTTTCCAGAGGGTATTCTTCAAGGGAACAACCCTACTTGATGATAGATCCAAGCGGAGACGATGGAATAGCAACCTAGTGGTTAAGCTTTCGGACTCGCAACCGTAAGGTCGTGGGTTCGAATCCCGTCGAGGGCCCGACGTTGTGTCCTTGGGAAAGACACTTTACACGAATTTTCCTCACTTCACCCAGGTGGGAATGGGTACCCGGCTATAGGCAGCGAAAGATCTTGTCAGTTTGTTAGTGTTTGAGCGCT